ATCTATGCCTTGTCCATGGGTGTCGATACTTACGTAATACCTATTCATCAGGGGGGATGAATGAATAGATCATCCCCCCCCCCCTGATGAATAGGTATCAGTTACGGATCGACACCCATGGCCTTGTCTTTCTTTAAGTAAAGCAAACGCGAATTTCCCCATCAGTTATCGGAAACATCATTATGTCCTGATGAATGCTAATTATCCATGCCAGAGTTTAATTAACGCTTTTTTTTATACTTAATATAAGATTGTAAATGAATGATATCAAAAAGTAGTTTGATTTGATTTGATTTGATTTGATTTGATTTGATTTGATGTATTGGTTTCTGCATCTTTTTTCTTTTTTTCATCATACATTTTCATGAACATAATATGGCTTGATACAATATTTCAAAGGCATATAATTTTATACAGATAATAAACGATATTAAACAAATATATTGAATTTAAACAAATATATTGAATGCATAATTAAAATACATTAGATGCAGGAGGGCTACAGAATAATGAAATTCCGCTTAAAGAGAGGGTCGAGCTCTTAGAAAGATGAAATATAAGAGATCTTTCATTCTGTTTATGCTTGTGTGGAGACAGTCATAGCACAAATGTCCCCTGAAAAGGATAGGTTTTCTTCACATTCCCTTCGATTCGAAATATGACAAGTAACAGCTAAATGTTGTGGACCCACTTTTATGCCACGTGCTTGTGGAGTTCCATACACATTTATGTGTATTATAAGATGATAACGTGGATCCGAATCCAATGATTGGTTGATAGAGTACACGTGACCAGTCATTTATTTTGCCTAACGCGTAATTTGGATAATGACCGGTCATTATCCAATGGTAATGACCAGTCATTATTAAAATCATGTTATAAAACATCATATTATAAAACAAATAAAACATAATCTTATACAGTATAAAAAATAATACGTATCATTTTGTTCGGGCATTAGTAAAATTACCCACACTCAGTACCTTCAAAACAGTCCAAACACCCTCGGCTATCGCCTCGATCGGGCGTGTTAGACTGTTCAAAAGGTACCTCGTGTGGGTAATTCTTACTAATGCCCTCACTGCTGTGTATTATATGTATACTAGTGCATGTGACCTTTAGAAAGACTGAGCCACTCTTTATAATTTTGATGATTAAAAAACCTCACAGTATACTTATTTGCTACATGATCAACTTTTCCAATCGTTCCAAACAGTTTCTTTTACAATTCAATAGGCTATTTTCGTAATGTAACCAAATTGAAGCTGAAGCATCTCGGTGCGAATCATTTAATTCACCTGTTATGAATGATGTATCTCAATAGTCAGAACTCAAATTGCATACATTAGATACTGTTAGGTGGGACAAACATTATGGCTTGCCCTTCCTAACAATACTTAACCCTTTGCTTACGGGAACATGATGGTCCCTGTGTTAAGCCTATGGGACCTATACAATTCAGTAGGCAACGGGATATGCAATTTGCATCCTGACTTTTGAAATGAAACTATTTGTAACAGATGAATGAAACAAGTGGTAACCAGGCACTTAACAAACATTTGTGCATTGAATTTGTGCAACTCCACTTTATCTCAACCGGCAGTGCAGTGAAAGAAAAAAAGATAGAGATACGAAGACAAGAATCGGCTTAGTGATATTGATGTTTCTTCTTTCAACAAATATGCAACCTTGGTTAAGATATGAGTCTACAAGTAGCCCCAAAGACGGACAGAACAATTGGACTGAAAGACAAAGAGGAAATAAAAGCAGAGTGGGCTCCAATGATTGGTCATTCATTGATGAATGGATCCCACTCAAATCAACCTTTTAACGTTGCTGATTTGAAATCAAAGAATAGAAATGAAAACAGTCATTAGTTCTCGATGATCGAGCAGCCATCAGCGTGGTTAAAGTTCAAGAAAGATATTGCATTCAATCATATCCATAAAAACAACAACAACAACAATTATACTAATACAATATGGAATCATCCGCTGCTAAGTTGCTTGTTGTTTCGAAAAATAACAAATCATGGGGAATCGGTCATTTGCACACGCTGGACCTTACCTGGAATCGATTGCCACAAGATATTCGATATATTTCAAGTGTAGATTGCTTTAAACATGCCCTCAAAACTTATTTGTTCAAAGTGGCTTTCCAGTAGATTTACTTTCACATTGTTGGTGTTCATTTTTTTTCTTCGTGTACTTCTTGTAGTTTTTCTTCTCCATTGCGCCTCGAACACATTAGTCATAATTATAGGGAGTTGGCGCATTACAAATACTCTATATTATTGTTATTAGAAAGGACTGCACAAAAAGCTTTTGCTTGAGAGAGAAAAAAACAAACAAAAAAACAAATACCAAGCAGTCAAATTAATTAATAACAGAAATTAAATGACACAAAAATAATATGCATCTTGTTTAACCAGGAGAGCCTCATCAGTACTGTTCTCCCTGAGGGACCTGCAATCATAGTACCCCGTCTTTAGCCGAGCTACCATGAAAAGGCGCTAAATCATTCGAGGAATTTCTTCCAACAGGGTACCCATTTACCTCACCTGGGTGGAGTGTGGAAAATGTAGATTAATTGTCTTGCCAAAAGACATTAGTGCCGCGGCGGGAATCTAAACGCGAACCACGTGATCAGTCCGGTGACATATACACTAGACCACGACACATCTACAGTTACATTTGGCAAGATGTCGAGTACAAACTTGGGTTACCTTTTTATTTATTAAAAAAAATGCACAAGTGCCCCCTCAAATGCCTTAAAAACCCTGCCGTTACTCCTTTGACTGTTGTTGTTTCTTTTTGATTTCTCTCCGTCAATTCAAGCTAGAATTCAGCATAAGAGTGCACTGCTTCGTGAGAACTGATATTACCTGCTTCAGTCAAATCATTTTTGCGAGATAAATGGAATTGGATGATTATATTCAAGGTTAATATTTGCTTGATCGTGACTAACCGTGTGCAGGCCTACTAATCTTCTATTTTTGGTCGTAGGGATGTGATTTTGATGTTAAACTCATGTATCGAAGGACGACATTTTTTTCGAAATTGAATTATAGAAATAAAAATTGATTGAATGCTCTGTCACTGTGCATAATGGCGTACCTACGGGCGGCACAGGGGCATTTGCCCCCGATCGACAGGTAAAAAAAAAAATATGTCTTTTTCACTTTAGATTGCAGTTTTCCAAATGTAAAGAGGCAAGGGATTTTAGTATACCCATACCCTTCCTGGTCAAGCTATCCTCTCAAAGTTTGACAATCTAGTAGACTATAGACTCTTGCCCCCCCCCCCCCCCCCCCCCTCACGACTGAGCCTCCGCTAGTATAAGCCACTGATCGTGTGCTATGCATTACTCAGCTTATTTTCTAAAACATTTTAAATTAGATTTTCATCTTTGACTTATTAATGGTCGACTAAATCTCGCATCGAATCAGTAACAAAAGCCACAAGAGCTGCAGAGCTAATATTGAAGCACTTTGGCCATATTTTTACAAGATTGCATGCTTTGTGACTGGTAATTATGCAAACATGAGCATGTGACTCTGAGTGAAATGGATTTCAGCTCATAAAATCAAAATATTTATCAACGTGATGTCTTTGTATATGGCACATTTACCATTTAAATAGCGAGACACAGATACGCTATTGGCTGCAAGATAAGAGTAAAATCTGAGGCTGCTCTCTGATAATAAAAAAAAAGAGAACTTTGTAGGTAAAAAGGGCATGTTTGAAGAAGTATAAAGTATTCTACTGAGAACACGTTCGGATGCGTCGACTAGTCTATCCACGAGTCGCCCTTGTGCTTACTGAGAGTGTTTTTAAACTTGCCATATATTTTCATGGAAGTCACATTCATTTTTAGTACATAGAAAAATGGAACCCACATCAAACAGAAATTCCAGTGATTGGCACACTTTATGGTTACCGGTGTAAATAGAAAACCTGTGAGAATTTTTTCACACCTTTTATTCATGCTGGATGGGTGATTTTCATGACCAACGAAAATAGAATTGTTTCAACTTCCTATACTTTTAATCAGCCGGGCTACTCCTAAAACAGGTTTCAGGAATTAATCAGCAAGAAAAACTTAAAGAAAGGGAACACCCGTTATTTGAAAAGCATATTCGAAGCTCTTCAAGTTTTTTTTCTTTCCAAATATCTTTTTCTAAGAAGAATTAGAGAGATAATATGAAAAATAAAGTAGAAGAAAATAAATAGAGTAGGAAGATTAAGAAACATACAAGATCAAAGAGGTAGAAGGAACAAAAACATTAATAAGAAGAAACAGAAAAATGAACATAAACTCTGCTTCACATTAACCCATCCGGACATAAAGTACCCCCCCCCCCCAAAAAAAAATAAGCACTCCCTAGCGAAAGCCAATTATAGCAAATCCAATTACAAACATCCGAAGGGGTTGCTACTTCAGCCATTTCAACACGATTGGAAGATACATTAAATCTTAAACTCATGAATATATTACAAATGCAAATGTAAATAATGAGTTACTCTGTTTGATCAATTACTCTTTCCATTTTCACTGCCAAAGCCGGTGCACGAGAAGATATACAGCTAACTAAATTATTCATAGCCCTCGTAAATTTTTAGATTTTGTTTTTGTCACTCTAGAATGAAAGGTGGATTCGTTGAATAAGGGCCTTTGTTGAATAAAGGTTTACATTATGTTCCCCGCGTTATCCCACGTCCATCCCGTTTTGGCCACGGTGGCCTAAAACACGATTGCCGTGGCCACCGGGAATATAATGTAAACCTAGCATTAGATAAAAGCTTCAATATGTCGCATTCCCACAAAACATAATTCGGGACAAATCAATTTATCACATACTTGTAGATATCATAAAGGGGAAGGGGGAGGGGGGGGGGGGCTGGAAGGATTTATACACTGATAAACGACCCTTTCTTCACAAACAAATGGCGTTCACAGGACACTATACAGGTACAAAATCAGCCACTTCCATATCAAACTTTTGATTTTATATTTTATTGGACAATAGTTACATTGAGGAATATGTAAATTCACAATTATGTTTGTATGTAGTCATCCATTAAAACATCACTGAATAATCATCATCTCATATGGCAGGTATATCAACTCGGCTCTCAAAATATGTCGTTGATACCTCAAACTCTGAGACGCCACTTTTGCACATCATCACCAATAATGAATGTCATCTATAAATGGTACTGTGTAGGCATGTTCCCACTTCTCATTCACACCCTCTATGCAAGTGCTACATAAGTAGTCTTATCATGAAGACCATAGCATGCCACAGTGTAAGCAGTGTGTTAACACTCGCACTTTTCATTTTACTGGTTTTACTGCAATATGTACACACTGTGGACCCACTGTGAAAACATTGTGTACACACGCCATGAACCCATTGTACACACAGTGTGTACATACATACTAAGAACCAACTGTGTAGACAGTGTGTACATACACACAATGAACTCAATGTGAACACAGTATTTACATACACACTGTGAACCCAATGTATACAGTGTGTACATACACACAATGAACTCACTGTAAACACAGTGTGTACATGCACACTGTGAACCTAATCTAGACACAGTGTGTACAAATACACAATGAACTCACTGTGAAAACAGTGTTTACATACACACTATACACACACTGCGAATACAATGTGTGATATACACACTGTGAAAACTATATCTTCACATGTATATAATGTGAGCACAGTATGTCCACACTGTGACCACTGAAAATGTTCCAGACTCTCTGACACTTTGCTCTTCATTCGCAGGCCCTCATTGTATAATATGCACCATAACATGCCAATAATGCATGTGACTGTGCATTGGTAATATCATTCAAATATTTGTTACTACGATAGTACAACGTCACTTCACTGGTAATAAAAAGTTATTTCTGATGAATTCTAATTGTAAACAATGCTATCTTAAGGCCAGAAGGGCACACATTGTACAGCAGGGCCCTGTTTCATTAAACTTGTTTTCAATAACAGATGCTAAATGTCTATGACAAATTTGCTCTCAGCCAATCAAATGCCACGATTTCAGTAGCTTATAACAATTATTGTAACTTGTTTTTGATAACATGTTTTATGAAACAGGGACCTGTATCAGCCAGAAGGGCTGCAATGAGACACAGTCTCATTAACAGGTGTTTTCTGTAAAATGTGAATGTTTCAACACTCTAGATTAGGTTCACAGGAGTTATTTGCTGTACATTTAGAGTGCTACAAAAGGTTCTGATTGAAAAAGGGATTCGATGGAAAGACTAAATACTCCAGATAGGAACACAAGTGGCGCATGTTGCAAGCATACAGGTATTGATACAATATATACAAATAAATATATAGTACAGTCATTTCAATAATAGCAATAGTTAATAGCAAATCTAGCACAGCTGGTTTTCAAACATTTTGTAAAGCTTGCAGCAAGCTTTGGTTTGCATAATGCTGGAATCAAGAAAGAAATGGCAAAAAATACATTAAAAGTTGATAGCACATGAGGAGGAATGACCATTCGAGTAATTCCCTTGTACCTCCGTTGTACGAGAGGGGGCGACATCCGAGTTGGGTTGGTAGTATTGAGGTATAAATCATTGTACACCATCCCCAAACAGCTCTATTTAATAGACCCTTTTGTAATGTAATCAAATCTAATGCACAAATCTTTGTTAAGTTCCATGTTACAATTTAGTCTTTCACATGTTACAAATAAATGCATCTCAATAGTTAAGATTCAAATTGCATACACTATTTGAAGCCAGGTAGGACAAACATTATGGCTTGCTCCACCTAACAGCTTGATATATATGCAATATGCATTCTGACTATTGAAATACAATTATTTGTAACAGGTGAAGGAAAAAAAATTGTAATGTGGCACGTAACAATTACTTGCGCATTAAATTTGGTTGCATTCAGAAAATGTTTACTAATGTATTTCAATGTATTCATGTCTATCTCGCTAAGCCCTGGTTACCAAGCCCTGGCTACCGAGCCATTTCATCCACATGAATGAAGGCATCTCTATGGTTGGAATCCACTTTGCAAACACTAGTCGTTGCTGTGTCAGGGAATCCTCTAGCAACCCTTGTAGTTGTTAAGAGAAATTGTGGTTCAAAAAGTATTCATAAATTTAGTGAACAGATCTATATAACAGCACAAAATCTTTTTTTTATTATTGCAAATGAAGCAAACAAAAGTCACAGGTACGTCAGGGATGGTGTTCTGAAAATCCTTGTAAGTTTTCTTGTAAGTTTTCTTGTAACGTTTCTTGTTTCATCTTGAGATGATTAATAGCTTATATCTATCATCTCATATTATCTGGTGCACATTAAGGTAATTAGCATTAAACGCTATTTTATCTCCTTTAGGCGCACAATATTTGAGTGGGGGGGGGGGGGGTAAAGAAATGAGAGAAAATATGATTAAAGAAAATGAGAGTAAACTAAAGTTACAAGAATTTTCAGAATACCAATTCTGTTTTACTTCTGAAGATACAAGAGTTTCAGAATACTGCCCTAGATCTGTCATTCTTGGATATATGCCATAGAAGGAATTTCTGTTCACATTTCCTATTCAACCCATACATACCCCATGCACATCTTTAGTCCAGATGTACGTTAACAAGTTAAATTGCATGTAATTTGAGTACAAAATGTTCAGAACATAAATTTTTGAGGTATACTGAAATATATTATTCAAATCATGAACTACTGGACATTTGATAACAGACAACAAAACAAAATTTATCTAATTGTCAGTATGCCCCCAAAAAAATTAATTGCATTTTCCATCGTATCAAATTAACATTTCTTATGTCCTGTTATGTTCTGTTACCAGTAAGAACAATAAGTATGTCTCTAACAAGTTAATCATTAATTGCACGATAAACAATGGTGACTTTTCAAAAGCTCTGATATCAAATGAATATATAATCCCCCTCAAAAGAGATTATCAGAGATAACTTACATGTTGCATACAAATATTTTGGCATGGTTGTTGATGTCTGGAAACATTCTTCATTTACATATTTTCCAGATGGAATGAATTCATAACATTGAGCTAAATAAAGAAAAGAATCCATACAACAGACGGCAGTCCGGTATCAATCTCACTACTAGTGGCAGGATTAAATGGGTAGCAGTAACAGGGAATTCAGAAAAACATCTCTATCAATAAAACATGTCTAAGATGTCTAGATATTTGATTTTTTCCTTCACGAAGAACAAATGTCTTTAATACATGTACTAAGAATTGATTATACTTACATCTAGAGCATATTCTATTCATGGTAAACATGGTTTTGCTATTGTGATATCATTGTATCAAATCATATTTTGTTCTGTTCCAGCAAGCTATACATCAGAAGTAATAGGTGGGGGTCTGTGGTATATAATCCTGAAACAAAATGATCTGTTAGAACAGAAAGTATTCTGGTTATGAAAGAAAACAAAACAGCATATAAAACAAAGGAAAACTTAGATAGTAAATAAAAGGCAGTGCCAATAGAAAGAAAATTGCACACAAAGATGAATATTTCACCGGATACATTAATACTGATGATCATAATATAGGAACATGAAAATACAGATGGGGCGCATTTTATTTTAGTATAAGGGTAACGAGTCCCTATTGTAATATAATTATGCAAATATGGGTCCAATTCGACTGATTGGAGCCAGAAGGCTACTATTAATGATAGAGCTCCAGGCAATAAATTCATGGAAAATCAACAGAAATCTAATATAAGTCATAGATTACAATAATATAAATAACAGGGGAAACTCTGTATAATGAGGCCGTCGGGACCAATTTCTGATATGTCGTATCAGAACGTACATAAGATCATTGCACATATGGGACTGCATGTACATGTACCTAAACAATATTGTAATACAGAGTTGTTTCTGCTCTTGTAAAGGCTATTAACATCAATAAATGCAATTTGTTGATCTTTTGGATTAATGAAATGTTGAATCCTATCGGCAAAGGTATTTAATGTATTTTATAAATGTATACAAGGTGAGGGCTGCCATAGAATTACAGGTAAATTGTTTTGGGCCCGTGGCAATATCCTCGTTATAACCGTTACCTCGTTATGGCCGACCTTGCTATACCAAGTTTGCCCTGTATATGCTATTATAGTGTCTGTCAGAGGAGTAACAGCTCTCTGAAACTCCAAATCTAAAGCTTTCAAAATCGGATGTTGTCAACCTAAAAACTAGCTATCAACTTGATGACATCATATTATACGGAGTATGCATATTTACAAGACTTTGCATTAATTAAGCACAGTTCATCGCCTCAGCTATGATAGAGCTGATCGGGACCACATGTTATGTCACCGTAACAGCAGCAAACTTGAACTCTGTTGACCCGTAATTTGGAGTGTGGAAAAAGAGGTTTTCATATACTTTAGTGCAACACTGAAAGGGAAAATATTTGTTACTCCTTTAAATTTGTATTCTACGTCCATTCAGCTCTCCATTGATATAACGTTGTATTTTCATCGGATAGGGTCTATAAGCTCAGTAGTCACAAGGCTAAATAAGAACTTTTAATTCACTGACACGACTGACTATCAAGCCTTTGGCTTTCCAGATAGATTTCTTCATGCCACTTTATTTGCTAAGTTACTATTAAAGGATGTTGAGATAAAAACCTGAATTGAACCTTAGTAGAATGCACTGCGAAAAAAAAAGTGTCTGAAATGCAAAATGCACAATTTCTGCAAACTGTAATTTTATCACATAGAGGTAGAACCACATTGTTAGGATGTGGAGCTAGTAAATACATATACAAACTTGATTAGGCTTAATGTTACCTTACCTTTTATTCAGATGTATCATATAAGGATTTTTAATTCATCAACATCACTAGCTATAATGCCGTTTGCTTTCCTGATATATTTTTTGTGCCACTCTCTTTAGCTGAGGTACCAACAAAAGAGTTCTGGAACCCGTTTCACAAAGCCTTTTTTCAATGACAAATGACACAAATCAGTGACAAAACTGTTGATAACCAATCAGAAGTAAGGATTTCAGTAGCTTATCACAGATACTGTCATTTGTCATTGATGACAAGTTTTGTGAAACAGGCCCCTGGGCAAGATAAGAGGCTAAGTTTACAGGAGGAATGGCAGGATATATAATTGTAGAAGGAGCATGTACTTTGCAGGTGCATAATCACTTTTCATTCATACCCTGTCAAAATTCAGTGTACCAACAATAACCAAAGAAATGGTAACATTCTATTGCATAACATAAAAGCTTATGATTCCATTACCCAAACCCTGACTAAGAGATAAATAAGAATTGCACAGAACAAAATTAAACACAAAATAAGGTTAGCATACTAGGATAAGACGATGGGTGGTATTTCATTTAAGTAAACCCTGCGTTAATATGATAGGTATTGCACACTTTGAAATCTATCACTATTTTCGTTCACCAATAAAAACAAAAATTGAAAGTTTCCCTAATACCTCATACAGTCGTAAACATGGGATTAACAAGTTGTCATTGTTATTGTCAATATCTGAGGAAAGATTATAATTTTCCCCTTCATTTGTTGATGCTGTTTTCAAATCACGGGCAGTATATGGGAATAAGAATTTAACACCAGTCATTTTGCAAAAGAATTGATAAACTGAACTTGTCTTTTGTATTGAAGGATAATAAATAGAGCAATTGAGAAAAGAAATGTAAACAATAATTTTAGTACTTTCAATTTTAGATATCATTTCAAAAAGATTACAATATAGACCAAGTATTCTTCCTTTTAAAATGAAGAAATGTTTTTATACCTGTGTACATGTATATGTAATCTTGAATTCACATTATAAGGATAGTAAATAGCAATACAACTGGATAGATATGGATAGTAATGCAGCAATTTAATCTGAAACTTAATTATGACAATAAAAATGTTCCTACATTTGGTCCATTCTATTGCAAGATAGAGAACATTGAACTTGGATACAGTTGTAACACCACACATTCTATCTGAATAAGAAAAGGGTTAACATTCTTTTAGGAATGATATCTGTCCTCCGTGACTTTGACAGTGAGAAGGTGAATGTGGCAGTTGTTATGTGGCAGAAAAGAGTAATCCTATAGTTCAGCTAGGCAAATACATGTATTTCAATAGGAATAAGTCATCAAAAAGATGCAAAAATGGGAATGGCTACAGAAATAAAGCAGAATATTCCTGTTCTTGCTTTTCTTTTGACTGAGTGCTGTTTGGCCATCCAAACAGAGAGCATCATTTTTTTTAGCAGCATTTGCTAGAGCAAGTATGCTTATAAAACTTGACGTATTACAAAAAATCAAAGGAGCACATTTCTAGCGTTCAACAAAAAGACCAGCAGCAGACACAAAAACGAGTACATGGGATTGCATCAGCAAATGCTATTTGACACTTGACTAGAGGCACGATCCTTGGCAGCGTCGGCCATCAGGCCTTCCCGCGAGACCGATCGGCCGTCCGAGAAGACCTCATCACCGTCGTCTTCGCTGAACGCGGGATTGATGGGGCGGGGCGAGACGGCATAGTCGACACTCGTGGAGGAGGAGCTCCCGGTTGAAGAGGATCGGATTGGACCGGGGAGGGACTCGGTCGAGTTGACGCGGGAGGAGGTGAGACGGGCTTGGATGAGTTCGACAAGACGACGGAATCTCCTGATTGGACCTGAGTAAAGGAAAACCATAAGTAATATAAATCAACCTCTGTATTTAAAGCCACACTTCACTACTTGTAGCTACTTGCTCCCTCTATATAGCAAGCAATTCCTAAGCATTGCCCATTGGTCCCCCATGATCCTCTTTTTCTTATGTTCATTGAGAGCTCAATTGATGAGATAACCACTTGTCAGTGACCTTGCAGGGAGGTCTTATCCCCCTGGCCAAACTAGTGCAGACGGGCATTTAATGTCAAATAACAATGTATGTTTTGATGAAAATATCCTCTAAGAGCATTATGCTATTTTGTTTGTTCCATTTACCAAAATATGTCTGTGTAAATTGACTTTCAAACTTTGACCTTTGACCTTTACCTGAGATGAGAAGGAAGTGTAGGATATGAACCACGTTCTCCTTGGCTGCCTCGCTCCCGTCAGGGGTCAAGATCTCAACCTGAAACTTGATGGGTTTGGCAAAGACGGCACCGCTTCCAGCTCGCTTGAACTCCGCCTTGAAGGATGTGGTCGAGTGCACGCTGTGACTCATGTCTGGAATCTAAGATGGGTGGAAGAAGTTGATCAAAATTAAATGAAACACAAGGAAAATAGAGGTAGTTAAAGGAATAGACCAGTTTTGGAAACGCCCCCCTCTCAAAAAATGAAATGGAAGCTCTTATTACCAATCATGCGAAAGAATACGTTTTGACTAATACGTGAGGACACAAATTTTGCGGAGAAACCACCTACTAATTGATATATTTGGAAAATTATTATATCTATCCAGACTGGGATAGATGTAGTCCCATACATCTTTCTGTGTACAGTGCTTGTAACTTTACCTAGACTGGGCGAAATTTCTTATCATGTTGATGACTTCAGAACCTTGCAGTACACACCAATACTTATATGCTATATGATAAACCTTTTCTGATCGATTCCACACCATTTCTTTCACAATGCAATCGCATGACCAGAACTCAACTTTATCTTTAATTGAATTTCAAGGAATATAGTGAGAGTTGAGTGTATCCAGATGCGTTTCCAGAATATAAGCGTAAACACAAATGGATTACAATACAAACAACCCAACAATTTTCAATCAAATTGGTTAACAGTAATTGATTACTTAATCCATCTTTGATTACTGTCAGACTTCTGAAATTATTTACTTGCAATCATCCAATAAACCAATTACTCAAGCGATCATAAATGACTGTATTCGTAAGGGATAATTGAAAATAGTTCTTCCTTGATTGAACTGAATGGCGACAACATTCTACATAATCAATTACATACACAATTTGTATTCACTGACTGACTATGCAATCATTTTCATGCAATCAACATATAGTCCACTCAGCCAATCACATGCAATGAATGCAGCATTGACTTCCTGAAAGGGATGCTTGAACAAGTTTAATATTGGATGAGTGGACTAATGCATTCAATTTCTTGCAATCAACCAAGCAATCATAAGTGAATGCAGCATTGACTTTCTGAAAGGAAGCTTTAATTAGTACAGCCATGACTAAATTAATGGATTTGTCCTAATGGCTATCTACAGCTCTTCATCATTTAATAATTTTTCATTTCTCATTCAATCTAGACTCACTGTCTAACCTATGCAATCATTTTCATGCAATCAATTCCTCATTCACAAATGATTGCAGCACTGATTTCCTCCCAGGAACACTTGAAATAGGTCCATCCTTGATTGAACTGATAGATTCGTCTCAGACTGCTATGAGAGCTTCTGAAGCACAAAATCCGCATTAGAAGTAATTAATTAATCACTAAATATTCACTCAATCTCCAAATCTTGCAATCAAATGAACATTCACTCAATTTCTAAATCTTGCAATCAAATGAGCATTCACTCAATCTCTAAATATTGCAATCAAATGAGCATTCACTAAAGCAATGAAAACAAAATAATGAAGCAATGACTTACTGTAAGGAATGCTTGAACTAATTCGGCCTTGATTGAACTAAGGGATTTATCCCTGACGGCTATCGATAGCTCCTCATCTACGGCTCGTTCTGCTCCCATAAAACTACTAAACCAAGATTTCTTGGACATTCTGTTGAAAGATAAATGAAATACACGACACAAATTCAGATGATGATATCATAGATATAAGTGCTGTTTACACATATGACATAGCAAGCATCAGCATTATTTTTTAAATGGAATATATGTAATGCAGTTCACATTTTAGTATCTCATAACTCATAACATAAGAACCCACAAACTTTGCATTTCAAGTCAAGTGCTCAAACCACTACACTATGAAACCAATATTAGGCCTATCACCTTTATACAATTATCAGATACGCTAAAATCCATGCATTGGACAATACTGCTTTGATTAGCCTATCTTTTGTTGGTCAAACAGTTTTTGAGCGTCAAGTAACACCTGGCTGGAATGCTCCCCAGGGAGTGGACAAGCCCTATATCCAATGACGGGGGTAATAGTATATCTGTAAAGCGCTTATAGACATTGTATTAAGCGTGATATAAAAGCGGAATATCATTATTATTATTATCTATAGCTGATTTCTTACTCAGGTGAGTTGTCTGGCGTGAGTGAGAGTTCATCCGGTTCCGCTGGTTGCATCTTGCGTCGATGGAACCTCGGCGAGCCCAAGATGGTATTCTTGAGACTATTGAGGCGTGCCCTCCAGGGCGTCGACTGTCCCCCTTGCTGCTGTTGCCCCTGCTGTGAGGTAGCGGTGGGGCTGGCGGGGGGCGTGCTGCCTGACCCGGTGGACACCAGGCTGCTACCGGAGTGCTGTCTGCAGACCTGGCGTGGGCTGTGGGTGGGGGAAGCTAGAGGGCTGCTGGTCACGCTTCTTGATCTACTGGAGGGGGAGAGAGGAGAGATAAATTGCTTTGTTTACCCCCTTTTTGTTACTGACTGCACCTTCACCTGCTGTCACAACACATCCCATCCCAGTATGGCTTGGAAAAGCTGAATTTCTAACACGGTATGCCTTTGAAAATAAGAAGTCTGTACCCTTAACAACGTTTGCACATGCAGCGGCAGTGTAACTGGCAATACGCGGTAAATCTGTACAAAAAAGCGAATACATATTCGCTGCTCGATCATGCAGCCATTCAACGCACGCAATTCGTGAAATCTCAAATTGCGGCACATGATCAAACAAGCTTAAAATTTGGCTTTAGCACAACAAAAAAAAGGAAAAAAAACAGTAGAATATGCATAGATTCTCACCCTGAGTTGTGATGTGACATGGCTCTCCTGGCTGGTGACATGGACCCATCTCTGGTCATATCAAAGGACTTTCTCTCTGATCTTCTCCTGTGATAGGAGTCCACTCTCTTCCTAGGAGGATCAGCTATATAATATACAATTAAAAACATGACACATATAATCACACCATCTTATTGAGTACCACATTAAAATAACATTAGCTCTTATCGTGCCATAATGAATACAGCCCAGAGCCACAGGGCTAATCCCCATTGTGCCAAGCCACAAATCCCCCCTGTGTCAAGTTTATTTTGAGATAATCTGATGGTGGGAAGCACTCAGCACAGTACAATGGGCATGAACAATAACTGCTATTACGAATGCGAGCAAACATGCATGAAGCAGCAAAGCAGTAGCGCGCTCGCGTGTAAAAAGTACTATAGCGGTAGCGTGCATGCAGCCTTATGGCAGGCTATGAGTTAAAGACATATTCTTGACAGTTTTCATGTGTATCAAGTCAAAACTCGGTAACACCGGACCTGGTGGAATTATCATTAAAAAAAATAAGACAAACAAATTTTGCGAGCAGTGCACTCACATGCTAACCTGGAACCTCCTCAAGCTTGTTGTAATTTGCAGAGTAGTGTATTACTTTCAAATTTATCACAGTTATGGAACTAACTTGCAGATAGAAAGGGGGAGGCACCACCAATTTGCACCCCTTAATACACCTGATATTAAAATGCAAACAAGAAAAATCTGCCCCCTTTCCAATTTTCAACCCCAAAAGGTACCTTTTTTTGCCTGTCAGAATTTAGGTGAATTGGTGTAAATTAGAAACTAAATACTTAATATGTTATAACTTTGTTTGTTTGTTGTTCATGGGGGGGGGGGGGGGGGGCTTATAAAATTATTTAGGAACCATGCCCCCTTTGATGAAAACCAGAATCAACACTTGGTCCAACTTACCTGAATCTGATCTTGTTCTGTATTCTAACTCATCTTCAAAGCTTGGTTTTCTTTGTTTTCGATCCAGCAATAATGAGTAGATAACCTTCTCTGAGTTGTGACTGCATCAGCGATAAAAACAAAATGATAATCATTATTAATTAAACATTAACCCTCTATGATCACACACAATTTCCCAACATATTTCACAGCTAAAATTTCCCTACGAAAGTCATAAAAATCAATATCAAAATTGTCATGTTCATGAGATGGATGGGTCGTGTGTTCAGAGAGGAAGATGATGAACCGGATCTGGAAGTGGATAGGATAAGAGGGAACATAAAACCAAGGATTTCATGGAAAGATATGGTAAAGAAAGAAAGAGTCCACTTTTATGTGTCTTTAAGGTAAATACATATTAAACAAATATGTCAAGTAGAATAATTTGATAACAAATATGTTATGATCTTGGTTCCTAGCATAAAAAAGGGGAAACGACAGATTTCGGACTTACTGCGGTGATAACAGATTGCGTAGAAGTTTAGGTCTATCTTTGAAGCACCCTAGTGACGTCATGCTGCCTATAACATCTGGATCTACATCTTCATCACCAAGAATTGGAGGTATCTAAACAAAATCAAGAAGAGTAAGGATGCTTGTAGTAATGATATCAATAATGATAATAATACATCTATGATAATTATCATACATGTTCAATGACAATGACAACGACTACTTATACTGCTGCTACTACTACTACAACACTTCTACTACAACTACTACCACTACTTCTACTACTTCAACGACAATGACTACTACTACAACTAAAACAGTACTACTATTACTACTACCACTACCACTACTCCTATTACTACTACTACTTCTAATGATGATGATGATGATGATAAGAATAATCACATTTGTTATAATAAAGAGAAGACAGAGAAACATTAGAAATTGCCAATATAATATTAACAATGGATAATAATATTAATAATACTAATAATGATAATAATCAAAGCTAATGCACACATAATCACACAAACAAAATATTTATCCTAAAAAATACCAGAAGAATTTGTATGCATGTAAAATGGTCTTCTTCAAGTAGTCCCTTTGATAGAAATTCCTCCTATACTGTAAAAGATTGTCAATCATTGCACACATATCTGCTTTTTAAAAATTTTACCTGAAACTGTCAGTAAAATCATCTGTATCTTTCATATGTTATATACTTACTTTGATATGGTGTTTCTTTGGAATATCTGACTCGGGTTGGTTTTCATTTCTTGTTCCCCTGCTTTATCACGCACAGGGAAATAGAGAGACAAAGAGACAGGGGTGGAAAAGAAAGGAAGCAAAGTTAGAGAAGCAATAAAAAGAGACAATTTGGATGCTGCTTATAAGTATCTGCTTGCATGGTGATGTAGATATACAGCAGGCTTACGGTTGCACCATGTGAGAGAGAGGGGAAGGATTGGGGAGTCCTGAAAAGGACTGTTGGTAATCTTTCTTGAGCTTATAGTTCTAAGGAGAACTATAGCGCCAGTTGGAGAGGATGGGTAGTAGGAGTGGCTAGACGTCCTTTTCAGGACTACCGGTACACACACACTCAAGAAGGAAAGATTACCGACAGTCCTTTTCAAGACTCCCCAATCCTCCCCCTCTCTCTCACATGGTGCAACCGTAAGCCTACTGTATAAAGTGAATTTGGTCTAAGATTTTCACACCTCTTTGGATATTATACTACATAATACCAATTTCGGGATTACGTTAAATGAGACCCCTTTAGTGCGCATGCGCTAATCAGCAATTCGTTAGTCGCGTGTTATTTGAGCGAAAGGACCCCTTTCTGGCTCAAGAAATCAGATTTATTATCCACGCAATCCCCGAAATTCAAAGGTAAAAAACGTTATTAGTTTCACCCTTGACATTTACTGATAACTTTGAGACGCTTATTTTTATAAATCACGCCCTTCTGAAGTGATATTTTATCGATAGAATTGTAATGTCTCAAATGGATAGCAGCACTGCTGCGTTTCCTCCGTCCGCGCTTTCACCCCAGGCACCGCCTGGTAGCGCAGGAGCCACGGGCTCCGACGGAAAGAAAAAATTACCCAACTCCAGTGGCAAAGTCACGGCTGGCAAAGTCAGCAAGAGTGGGCCGGGGAAAGCTAAAAGTAAAACAAAGTCGGACTCGGAGCCAAAGGCAATGAGCGAGAAAAATCAGGAAGTGGAATCAACGGTTCCATTTTCTACTTTTAATAACAGACTTGATAAAATGGAAGCGCTTCTTGCGCGAGTGGTTGAGGCGTTGCCCGCTACTAATGCTACGGCTGTCACCGGCAGCTCACACCCGTCTTCGTCTCGCGGCCCCACCGGGGCTACCGGCGGGGAAGACTATGTGCAACGGCCTCTGTTCGACCACGGGAATGACATACCGCCCACCGGGCTCATGGATTTTTACGGTCTACCCGCGGATGCAACCGAAGCGGGCGCCGTCTCGGAGGAAGAGAATTTTGACTCAGACATGCCTCAACCTGATAACTATGTCATTCCCTCGATCGCCGCAAAATTCGCAATGGCGTCGGATATCGGAGATCCTATTGAGGAGGAGATAGCCCAATCTACTTCATATCTCATGACACACCAATTGGAGGGGAAAGTTCTTGATGAATTTACTGCAAAATACCCAGCTCCAAGCAATTGTCAGATTATAGAGGCACCAAAGGTGAACCCTGTGATATGGGACAATCTACCTCCGATGACAAAAAGCCGTGACTTGAAGTTACAGCGAGTTCAGAAATCACTCACTCATGGCATCAATGCATTTGCCCGCTCCGTTTCTACGGGCGGTATAACTGATACACAGCAAGATGCTTTGGCGTTGATTTGTAACGCTAACTTTGAACTGAACTGCCTGCGAAAAGAGCTCATAAAACCTGACTTGAATGCAAGGTTTACGCATCTGTGCAAACCTACTCTGCCAGCTACTAGACTTTTGTTTGGTGATGATCTTGGAAAGCAGGTGAAGGATCTCAAAGATCAGCAACTGGCAGCGGCCGGTGTAATGAGGGACAAATTCAAAAACCGCTTTGCTTCGCATCCCTATCGGGGACGTGGCTACAATGCACCGGGGCACCGCTGGGGCTCACAGAGCCAATCCCGCGGGTATAGCAGGCCAATGTCAGGATCGCAGGGTGGCCCTTTTTTAGGGTACAGACAGAACAGGAGGGGCAGACAGCCTCCATACACTCAGTCTCAGGCTCCGAACTAGCCTCAAATGCAAGCGCCAGGTGCCCAGAGGGGTCCCATGGGCCAGCAGAGGAGGAAGTAGAACTCCCAAGACCAAGTCACGACAAGGTTAGTGATTCACACTTTGATCTCATTTTTAGCGAAAATGATATGACTAATGCTAGTACTAGTACTAGTAGTGTTCCCCCAGTGGGCGGTCGACTGAGGTATTTTAGGAAAAATTGGCAAGAGCTAACAACAGACCCTATTGTTATTAGGGCTGTCACGGGATACAAGATCGAGTTTGATGTAGAAAAAATTAAAGACTTGCCTGAATTAAAGGCTAAACGCTATAAACGGAGTGTCCAGGATGCTAAGTGCATTCAAGAAGAAATTACTAGCCTCCATCGTAAAAATGTTATTGAGCCCTGTGTACACGAAGAGGGTGAATTCATTTCTAATATTTTTACTACGCCTAAAAGAACTGGAGGTGTACGTCTAATCCTCGATCTTTCAGAATTGAATAAATGCATGATGTATAAGCATTTTAAAATGGATAATATCCACACTGTGCTGGATCTTGTATCCCCTGACAATTTTCTAGCCTCTGTCGACCTCAGAGATGCATATTATACAGTACCGATCCACCAAGAGGATAGGAAATACCTCAAAGTCATTGTCAATGGTCAATGTTGGCAATTCAAAGCACTGCCCAATGGTCTCAGTACAGCACCAAGGCTATTCACAAAATTACTAAAGCCAGTTTTTTCTAAGCTCAGACAAGCTGGTCACATTGTGGTAGGATATTTGGATGACACAATCCTCATTGCAGAAAATGAGGAAAAGCTCAAAGCAGCTGTTAAGGCTACCACTGACATCCCTGCACAACTCGGGTTCATTATTCACCCTGAAAAATCGGTACTTACCCCCACCAAAGAGATAACGTTCCTTGGCTTTGTTCTGAATACAAATACTATGCAAATTAGGCTTCCAGAAAGCAAGGCGCTTGAAGTCGAACGCCTCTGTCAAGAGCTTATTGACACTAAGGAGCCCTCAATAAGGCATGTTGCCAGGGTTATTGGGAAGATCGTTTCAACTTTCCCAGCAGTCCAATATGGCCCTCTCTTCTATCGTACTTTAGAGAGAGACAAAATTGCAGCACTAAAAGCAAACAGAGGTCATTTCGATAGAAAAATGACACTTTCAAATGAAGCCAAGGGTGAGCTTCAATGGTGGGTCGAGCATGTAACGTCTTCATTTGCACCAATAAGAAGACCGAAACCAGACCTTGAGTTGCGCACGGACGCCAGTGGGGCTGGCTGGGGTGCTACTAACCTCCAATCATGCACAGGTGGTAGATGGAATGAAAAAGAATTGCACAAAGCTAGGCATTATGGCATTAACTACCTTGAAACAGTTGCTGCGGGGTTTGGCGTTCAATCCTTCTGTGCTGATATGGAAAATGTGCATGTACTACTCCGTGTTGATAATGTAACCGCAGTATCATACATTAACAATATGGGGGGCTGCAAGTCCGCAGATTGCAATGAGGCAGCCAAACACATTTGGGAATGGTGCATGAGTAGGAACATATGGCTATCAGCTGCCCATTTACCAGGGAAACTAAACACAGAGGCAGACCACATGTCTAGACACTTTAACCACAAGACAGAGTGGATGCTAAATACAGATGCATTCAAAGAAATTGCTCAGCAATTTGGTTCCCCAGAAATAGACCTATTTGCATCAAGATTAAACAAGCAAGTTGACAGATACATCTCATGGCTGCCTGACCCTGGAGCTGAAACAGTTGATGCTTTCACAATCGACTGGAAACCATTAAGTTTCTACACTTTCCCACCCTTCTGCCTCATCGCAAAATGCTTACAAAAGATTAAATGCGATGATGCAACAGGCCTACTAGTAATTCCAAACTGGCCTACCCAACCATGGTTCCCTCTTTTGAAGAGTATGATTATTGGGGAGCCAATGTTCATAGCTAGAAGGCCAAACTTACTAGCACAGCCTATTACAAATGAGCCACACCCGCTTAATAATCAGCTTGATTTGCTTTGTTGCAGGTGCTGCGCCAGCCACTAGAAAGTAAAGGTTTGAGTGCAAGAGCTATCAATGTAATAGCAGCATCGTGGCGAGCATCAACGACAAAGAACTATGCCGTTTACATAAGGAAATGGAAGACATACTGCCATAAAAAAGGCTTGAACTATCTCCAGGCGAGATCCAATGATGTAATTGATTTTTTGTCAGAACTCTTTGAAAGTGAAAGAGCTAGTTATAGTGTTATAAATTCTGCACGCAGCGCCTTGTCTGCATTCCTAGTACTTGAGGATTCGTCATGTACAGTTGGAACTCTTATCCTCTTATTAGTCGTTTTTGTAAAGGAGCTTTTCAATTGCGCCCTCCAGCGCCAAGATATAAGGAGATTTGGGATGTGAACATAGTGTTTAATTATCTACGGAAGTGGGCACCAGCGAATTCGCTCACGTTAAAAACTCTGACTATGAAACTTTGCACACTTATGGCGCTGATATCGGCCCAGCGGGTCCAGTCACTGCACAGCTTGCATCTTGACTACATGAAAATCAAGGGCAGCGAAGTTCTGTTCATTTTTAAGGACCTCCTAAAGCAAACAAAACCGGGGAATGTGAACTTCAACTTGAAAATGAAGGCATATCCACCAGACAGGAGGTTATGTGTACTTAACTACTTGCGGCACTACTTGCGCAGAACGGAGAGCGTCAGGGGACAGGAACGCTATCTGTTCATCAGCTTCAAGAAACCGCACAAACGTGTTACTACGCAGACCATCGCCAGATGGGTGAAGGAAACGTTGACCTCAGCAGGGATCGACACAGACATCTACAAAGCTCATTCTACTAGAGCTGCATCAACTTCAGCAGCAAACAGTTCAAATCTGCCTATCAAGCATATACTAGCCCAGGCGGGCTGGTCTTCTGAACGGACGTTTCGAAACTATTACATGAAACCAGTAGAGAACAGGAACGTCAATTTCACAGGTGCAATCATGGCGTCCTAAAGGATGTCCTAGAATTGGCATCGCCTTTTTAAGGTCAGCTGGTTTACCTTCTTAGCAGCATGCTTTAGCTTGCTATTCTATCAATAATGTATACTTTTGTGTTGAGCACTGGATCGGATGGCCTACTGAGCTTCGAAATCTCATTTAACGTAATCCCGAAATTGGTATTACGTAGTATAATTGAAAGATTAAACGAGAACTCGTTTGAGATTTAATCTCAATTATATAAGTAATATAAAATGAGGGTTTACGTCCCTCCCTTACCCTCCCTAGTGCTGGGTATTGTTATTAATTACAGTTCTCGTTATCTTTCTGCTTGGTTCAGTAGGCACATCCTTGGCTATCTACGAATATTGCTGATTAGCGCATGCGCACTAACGGGGTCTCATTTAACGTAAACCCTCATTTTATATTACTTATATAATTGAGATTAAACCTCAAACGAGTTCTCGTTTAATCTTTCAAATACATGTAGTACCATGTACTCGCATGTTTAAACAAGTATGAATCAAACTTCAATGACAATAAAGAAATTACACGTACATGTATTAGTGTAGCGCACTCATATTAAAGTAAGACAAAGTTTATTGGAATTTAGAATTGCTGAAAGGCTTGTTCCACAATAGAATATATACAAAGACAGGACACTTGAAATTAATAAAGAATGTAACTCAAGTTTGATACTTACAACACATACCAAGGATGCCTCTGAATTTGGGATAGCTGGAGAGAAGAAAAACAGAGAAATTTAATTTATATGAGTACTTAAAAAAAAAAAAATTCACATCGAAACACTTTTTTCACACTTCATGGTGATAAATGAAAATCTCAAAAGTTGGTATTAACATTTCATTCAAATTCAAAAGTTATTTTTATAATATAGTCTAAATTCCATTCTAAACCAAATGCATGTAAGGTACTTAATCCATTAGGATTTAAAATGCAGCCCCTTAGCATTTAAATTAATTGAATTTGTCTATCCCTGTTCACTGACAGCTAAGGTACATTAAAGGCATCGTTTATCAACGTTAAATCTGAGGTACACTGCCCTACGTGTTATCAGTGTCTGTAATATGGTGAAATATTGAAGCCCTAAAAAAAAATCGCGCTTCAAAATGATCGAGAAGTGCCTCAAAAAAGTAAAAATCTTTGAGTGACCGGTTTTACCATACTTGTTTTCCCCAATAGACTGTAGTGTTATCAAAACCGTTTGGCAAACGCAAAATTTGGTTTTGATTTCCATTCATAATTATCTTGATAATCACAGGGGCGATCAGCTTTTAAACGTCACGGGATTCCTGACTGACTAAAAGGTTTATAATTATCATTGCAGCATGAGCTAAATCCAAGATTTTGTTTCAGAATCTGAGAAAAAGATCCCTTTAAATCAATCATTTGATAGCATTCTATAATCTGTGGTTGACATTTGAAAAGAAGTATCTAACACAGTTTTCTCATCAAATAGTCTACTTATGACATCCATTCTACCTCCCTTTCTTTATATGCCTTAATCCTTTGAATAATTCAAGGTTCTTTTATAGATGAGCATGTGTATGAACAAAACTAGGTTGGGTGACTATCTAATCTATGATTATAACATAATTTTATCCGACAAGCTACATCTCGTATGTCTTTATAGATAATTCAAATTACTTTAAATTGGGCAATATTCATTCGAGTGCTTGATAGTGCAATGTACTTTTATTTAATGATTCTTATCTGACATGAAAATCAACTTAATATGGGCAACTTAATTACCTGGATTGGCTATAGAAATCTTGTTTGGATTACCGGTTTATACAGGTATTATGTCACTGTCATATATTCACAGATTCCTGGTGCCTTTTGGACATGTGGCAAACGAGTAACCGTGCAGAGAGAGAGGTGAAGAAAACAACTGGGCCTTGTTTCACCAAACTTGTTATCAATAACAATTTATAATAACTGTTAAAAGCTACTGAAATCGTTGCATCTCATTGGCTGAGAGCATATTTGTCATAGACATTTAGCAATTGTCATTGAAAACAAGTTTCATGAAACAGGGTCCTGAAGTGTTGAGCAACTAAAATTGTGAAACCAAGATCATGGATCAAGGGTTCATTCACACTCACTGTTAATCTCTTATCTGCGTTCACTTCCACCATGCCCCTCAACAGGTTCTGACAATCTGGCGGAACAAAATGTGGAATGTGAAAGACCCCTCGCTTGACCTTCTCTAGAAGATTCCTCAGGTTGTCATCATCAAACGGTAATGCTCCCTTAGAAAATGAAAAGAGATAAATGAAATGATTACTAGATTTGTAAAAAAAATAAAAAATAAAAAGAGAAGAAAGAAGTAAGAAAATAACATTCAGAAGCTAATATGTCAGTGGAAAACGTAATGCATATTTCTACCAAATCCAATATTTTCCTTTCCACCAAATATGACGTTCACACCAAATATGACGTTCATCATCATCAATACTAAAAAGTAAAAATGCCTAATTTCATTGAATTCAAGTTGAGGCTAGGGACTTTTCGTGTCACTGTATTTTGCCACATGTACCTAGGTGAGGAAAGTTGCATCAGGAATGCAAAATATTTGTTGAAAATATCAATTTTATGGCATTGCGACAGATCCATATTTTTAGGACACGGGCCTAGTAAATATCTCCACTACCTTGATTACATATATTACCCGGTAACCCCTTGTCTATGGTTCCTGTGTTAAGTGTATTATGGGAATGAGAAATTCAGTAGTCAATGGGTAAAAAACCCAAAACAATTACGTACCTAATATTACAACTCTTGAAGGACCAGACCAATATTACCAACTGTTATGTCTTTTTTGAATTCCGGATTCGTCTTTTTGTGCCACAACATTTCACCAAAACATTTTTCAATACCCAGTAAACTTACCACTAAAAGGGCATACAGAATCACTCCAGCACTCCAGACATCGGCTTTCCTTCCATCATACTTCTCTCCCTGGTAAGAAATAGAAAAAGTAGAAATTCAAATTATCACAGACAAATCATAACTTAATAATTCATCTTTCTTTAATTTCAATCTTAAATCATTTTGTATTTATATGTATATATACTGAATGTAGGTTTACAGGGCCCTTGTGGAGGCATTTTTGTATAAACTAACAATGCCAGCCTGTACAAAATAAAACTACCAATGAATAAAGAAAGAAAGAAGTTTTAAAATTATAATCTTTCTATATTATCTCTGGGCAACACCATTTGATGTTAAGTAAATATTAAGTAGTTGTTTGTAATTTATATTCTAGGAATTCCTCCACACCACGCATCTATTCATCAATATTACATCTCATCGTGCGTAACATTTGGAAAGCTGCTAATGTACTCGATAGTCTGTTTACTCGATAATTAACTTCATACAGGAAAATGCCTCTGTGTGTCTGTGTGCATATCGGCTGGTGCATGCATGTAGGGTTATGGGACATTGAATAAATATTATCAGTGTGTATATCCTTGATGAGAATGAGGTAGGCTTGTAAGCTGAGCAGCTAAAGTAATTAGAATTATTGATCGTCAGCTCCTGATGACAGATTGTGCATTACTCTGGTTAATATGACAGGAAGGAGGGGGGGGGGGGTGATAGGGAAAGGGTGAAAGTGGTAAGTGAGAAATGGGAAAGTAGGGAAATAGGAGAATAGCGGTAAAGGGGGATACAGAGAGGAAAAGAGAAATAAATAGACAGAGAGGAATAGAAGGATCTAAAGAGAATGAGACCGATGGAGGAAGAGAGATAGACAGACAGAGAGACTACATGTAGTATGAGAGAGGGAGCAGGGTGAGAGAAAGAAAGAGCACCATCATCATCATCTTTGCCATTATAATCATCATTTCATAACCACCATCATAACACTACCACTACTACCACCATCATCATTATTTCATCATCACCATCATCATTATACACATTACCACCACCACCACCATTATCACTAACATCATCAACACAACCACCATTACCACCACCATCACTACCATCACTATCAACACCACCACCACCATCTCTACCACCACCATCACTACTATCATTATCATTATCATCATCACTACCACAAGCACCATCATCACTACCATCATTACTCCTTCTGGATACCTACTCTTATAACTTCCGGACATGCATAATGAGGTGAACCACAGCTCGTCTCGAGGAGGGATGAGTCTAGCTGCAGTGATGCCATCCCAAAGTCTGCCACTCTGATGTTATTCTTATCATCCAGGAGAAGATTCTCTGGTTTCAGATCACGGTGGCTTTAAAAAAATATTTAAAAAAATCAAGATTTACATTGACATATTATTATCATTATTAGACATCTGATATTTTCCAATGTTATTGACAAAATAATGCTTATTAACTTGACATAATAATAATAATAATAATAATAATAATAATTGTATTTATATAGCACTTTTTCCAGAGGATAACAAGGTTCTGTTTCTCCTGAGCTTAAACCAGGAAAAGCCCATTCCTGAAGGCAGTGGGGGTACTGAGGAGGTGTCCTGCCATTTCAAGTAACTTTTGAAGGCGCACTTTACTGTGATGGAGAGCATGGATTGCTATATTTTTTTTTATTCATTGGCTTGACTGGTATTTTTAAAAGTAGTTTTATCATTGCATTAGCAACAATTATACAACTTTGTGGAGCCAAGTGTGAAGCACTTTGTAACACTAACAGCAATGAAAACAAAATATGCTACAATACTCTTTGGATTGGATTTGAATCAATATTGCAAATATGCAATGAGGTATCTTCTTCACCATGATTTTAATTAGATCTTTGAAGTTAAATACCCTCTTGTAATGTGCATAAAACTACATGCACACATACATGTACAGTACATGGTATCCACCAATGTTTAATTCTACAACTGCTACATAAGCTAGGATGTGTATTTACACTATGAACAAGACCTTATTGTACCCATTGTACATTTTTGTGTGCCCAAGCCTAAGGGGACCTAGAAGAATAATAAACTGTTCTCTTTCTACAGTTGTACATTTAGGTTCTTAAGGTTGAACTAATGGACAAACTATGACTATAATGGGTAGTAGACTTTCTACTCTGGTGCAAGGCGGGCACTGGATTTATAGAATGTACACATGCAGTAGTTACTGACAAGAGATAAAAACAGATGAAGACAGGTTCTGAGACAGAAAGGGAGGGAGAGGGTGAGAGATAGATAGATAGAGATAGAGAGAGCGAGTGAGAGAGAAAGTTAGAAAGAGGGAGAGAGAAAGAGTGAGAGAGAGAGAGAGATGGGGGAGGGGGAGGGGGGTACAGACAGATTGAGGGACACAATTAAGACAGAGATTGAAAATACAAATATCGTGTACAGAAGTAACCTCAGGAGTTGGAAGAAGTTGGAAAGAGACAGCAGACATGAAATTATATATATTCATTAAAAGGTATGTAAAAATATGGCCTTTTATGGAAGGATTTCAAATATTGGCTTTGGTTTGATTTTATAATGTTGGTTATTAAACAGACATTTCATATTGGCTCAAGCCTGTGTTGTCACATGTTTGGTACTCAAATCAATAATGGATGCCTGAAAAAAACATGACATGACTAAATACCAAATTGTTCTAATTAATTCGCCTAATGTTTACAATCTACACACACCACATGCTGTAAAAGCAGGCACAACTACATATATAATGAGCTGCACAAATCAATATACAGCGCTTGATGATGGTGGATCGATCAGTCTTTGTCGTAGCTAGTGCGAGTCAATTTCATATTACTCCTAAAATTGTATGTTTCTAGTCTTAACAAAGAGGGGTCATTCACCTCTATAGAGAAAGCCAGGGTGATATTGCGGTGCCTTGAGCAGTGACCTTACGTGGTGGGTATGAGTGACGTATAGCAAGGCAATAATATTATCATTATCAATATTGAAATCTACGAAGCAAAATATATCATTTGAGAAAAGCCTCTATGATAAAGATGTAATTCAAGAATTAAGATGACCTCTAAAATTATAGCTGGGAAATCTGTCATTAATTTTGGCTGGTATATATCAGAATAAAATGAATGTAGAATAGATTTAAATCAAATTGGATCGCTCCAAACAATATCAAAAGGTGTACACTACATGAATATCTTACTGGAAACCATTTATGAAAAATAGAAGAAGTATTAAAAGGAAAACATTTTTAAAGACTTTAGGTGACTTACATTGTAAAGAAATTATGCCATGAATGTTAAACCAAAGAGACACAAACCAGGTTAACGAAAAACAAATTCAGGCAATCCATTTCATAACCTGGAACTCTATAGGCTTGTAAAATAATATAGCTCATATAACCTTCTATCAAAGTCATGTACATGTACATGTACTGGTACATACAAGTAGTTCTTCTGTCCAGGGAGGCATTGAACAATATATGCAGTTGGATTGGGTTTAGCTCAATTTCCTTAATAACTTCCTATACGACCCTCGGAGTAACGCTCGGAGACCAGATAGTATTTCCTATCCTTGTTGAGGGATAATCAACTAATTCTTAACAATAATTTTTTCCTCCTATCCTGCTAAATGGTTGGGTCCCTGAAGTTGTATCATATCATTGTTATTCAACATGTTTTTAGTTGATGGATCATCTATATCTATTCCTTTACTTTCATGCCATTTCTCTCTATCTTCTTCTAATAGATTTTCCTATTCAAATATACTTTTTCTCTTTCTCCCTCCCTGTCTACCTCTATCTGTCGGACTGTCTCTTTCTCTCTATCACTCTCTGCCCCCCTCTCTATTGTCATTCTCATTTCCTTTCTCTTTCTCCTCTCCCCTTGCTCCTTTCCCTCCCCTTTCCCTCACTCTTTCCTCTCCTCCTGTTCTCTCCTCCTTTCCTCTCCCACTCCCCTCTCCCCCTTTCCTCCCCAAACCCCATTTCCTCTCCCCTCTCCACTCTCTCTCTCCTTTTTCTTTCTCCCTTCACTTTCTCTCTTCCACTTTCCCTACCATCCCCTCCCTCGTCCCTTCTCTCCACATCATGCCCCTTCTACCATCCCTCCCCATGCCTTGTCTCTCTCCCTCTCTCTCTCTGCAACTTTCCCCCTCTCCCCTCCCCATCTCCACTCCTATCTACCTTTTCTCCAGATCCAGGCCCTTCTATCATCTCTCCCACGAATCGTCTCTCCCTCTCTTTCCCAATCCTGCCCCCTACATCCTCTCACTCCCACGCCCAATCCAATCTCTTTTTTTCAAACCCACCTTTTCCTATTCCTCAATATCAACTTATCCCTAAAGTTCTGATACAGCTTATTTAAATGCAAGGTCATATCTCCTTCTCCTATTTACTATTGAAAGACCTGTGGCTTGACTATTCTCTTGCTATGAATGTTTACGGCCATTTCTTTACCATTCTGAGTAAAGAAAATCCTTCCTGAAATTTTACAAGACAATCAAAGTCCGAGAGTTGGGTGGAGAAATAGACTTAACCCTCATTCTTGCTTTACATTAGGCCTAGATCTTTGTGAAGACAGACCTATTTGCTATGATTTACAATCGATAATCGGCCATTATAATGCAAATACTGCTCTAAAGTAACACTGAAAATAATTATTGTTAATTAATTATCTCCTTGTCTCAATCACATGTATCCAAATCACAAATTAAATGGGAAAGCCTCGTGACAAATAAGTCAGATGACCACCTCAAAAAATATGCCATGCCAAAATAAATCCATTTCAAAAGTGAAAGAAGAGCAGATGAGTGAAATAAACAATCACGCCACAAAGGCCCCTCAGTGTACTTAGCTATCTGTATGTTACAGGAAGATGTGTAGCCCATTTACAACGCAATTTGCAATGTAATTTATTGTACTTAATTGTAATGAAATGTCATTTAATTTAATGTGATATAGTTATAATCATAGTGGATTTTCATTATGTAAAGTGCATAGAGATGGAAAGAGACAAAAGACATGCTACATAAGTTGATAATTATGATATACAAACAATGCATGTTTGCGAGTGCATAAGTGATATGCACTGCACACAGGTTACTGTAAGTCAACGTAGGATAATGAACAAGACTTATCGAGTTCATTGTCCGTCTCATTCTGACTTAAAGGTAAAGACCAGTTTTGGAAACGCCCCCCCCCCCTCTCAAAAAAATGAAATGGAAGCTCTTATTACCAATCATGTGAAAGAATATGTTTTGACTAATATGTGATGATAGAAAACCGCCTACTAATTGATATATTTGGTAAATTATTATATCTATCAGGACTGGATAGATATAGGGTATTCCCATATACATCTTTCTGTGTACAGTGCTTGTAACTTTACCAAGACCGGGCCAAATTTCTTATCATTTTGATGATTCTAGAACCTTGCAGTACACATATGCTAGATGACCAACCTTTTTTGATCGATTCCACAACGTTTCTTAAACAATGCAATCGCATGACCAGAACTGTTCTATATCTTTAACCAAGCTAATGCACGAGCTAAAAACATGTATCATTTGTTTTATAAGATGGGTCTACAATATGAGTATAAAGAAGAAAAATTGATGGTTGTTACATCACCAAAATGCACTCCCCATGCATGTGGTAAAAACTAGTGGAGATTGTGCACACATTGTGTGCGGGCAAGCACTGAATCCAATGACCGGGGTAATAGTATAAAGCGCCCTAGAGACATTGGGTGGTATTCCGGTAGCGCGTACTAAGTTAGCGCATACTTAGTTAGTTCATACTTTTATGGAGTGCCTGTTGCAAACTAATTTACCCTGTACAGATTATTTTAATCCTTCAATGAAAAGTGTCCAAAAAATTAATTTTGCAATGAAATGGGATGAAAAAGATAATATGAGTATGAACTGAATTTCAACAAAGTCTTTGGTAGATTATCTTTATCATGAATAATGAAGGAGGAAGGTGAAACCTAGCATTCCATAGAAGTGTGAACTAAAATTCTTGTTTAGTCTGGACTTAGTCCCGGCTTAACTTATGAGAATACCACCCATTGTATTATTAAAGCACTATACAAGCGGAATATTATTATTATCATTGGCTACATTCATGACCCCATTTCATAATTACTATTACCGCACATGCTTTAACAATGTATCTCAACTTGTTTCCTCCAGCAATGTTTTAGAGGCAGTTTACCATGTGTGAACAATGCATAAAAGCTTTTATCAAAAAGCTATCAGAAATTGCCACCTCAATTTCATGATATTCTGTAAAAGTTGTTCCTCACTCAAAGCATATCTTGCTCTAATGGAACATTTTGCCTCGGGGGTCACTGTATCCGTTTCCCCTGCATATTAGTCAATGGTTGCTCGCATTGTGGTGCAGAAATTAATGACGGTAATGCTGATTGCCTATCGCTATAGGGTATGCAGCCTGTAGGGGCATTCACACTTATAAAAATCTAACCATGTGTTCATATGACAAGAAGTCATTAATACTTAATTTCTGCCTTGTCTGAACGGTATATAAAGAAACATATAATGAATCGTTGTATAGCGTAATTTACTTTCGAGCATTGTTTTGAACAAAAACTAATCCACAACCAGGGTCATGTTTAGTGTGAACGTCTTATCGTACAAAAATCGTATAACTGGGCAGGGTTATCGCATTGTGGAGCAGAAATTAATGACGGTAATGCTGATTGCCTATTGCTACTGGGTTTGTAGCCTGTAGGGGCATTCACACTTACAAAAAATCCCTTGTTTATACTACAAGGATCCACTTAATTTTTGCCTTGTGTTAATGAAACATTGTATAGCGTAACACATTCAAAACATTGTTTTGAACAAGTTGTCAATAAAAGGACCAGGGTCATGTTATAGTGTGAACATCTTATCGTACAAAAATCTTATAACTGGACGGGGATATACAATTTTTCAGTGCAGTGATGATTGGCAAGCTTTGACGTCAGTTGACCTCTTCTTTGTGACGCATGCTCCTCTTGCTTTATGATTTTAGGAGCTTCTTATCAATTTCCCACAGTCTGGAGTAGAGAGATGGATATTAAAGTGTAAATAGTTTCTTACCATATTGAGTAACTATGACAAAAGTCAATGGCCGAGATAATCTGCCTGAAGAATCGTCTCGCTTCTCTGGGAGTTAATCGACCTTTCTTCACCAGGTAATCAAACAGCTCTCCACCGGCAACGTGCTCCAAGATTAAATACCTGGTAGCAGAAAGAGCAAGTAGAGAAAACATTAATGTGAGAAGGGATAGGGTACGTGGGGGAAGAGGGAGAGAGGGGGAGGTGAGGGGGGGAGGGAGGAACACTGTAATACAGAATGATTGCAGTAATGAAGGAGAAAAACAAGATCTAAATTATTATTATCATAAAGGTAAGTCACAGTAGGATAATGAATGAGAATTGTCGAGTTCATTGTCTATCTCATTCGGACTTAAAGGTAAAGACCAGTTTTGAAAATGCCCCCCCTCTCAAAAAATGAAATGGAAGCTCTTATTACCAATCATGTGAAAGAATATGTTTTGACTCATACGTGATGATACAAATTTTGCGGGGAAACCGCCTACCAATTGATATATTTGGTAAATTATCATACCGGTATTGATCCCGCCTGGATAGATATCGCAAATGCACTTTAACATTGAAAATTTGGGCATATATTTCGGCTTTTTTGGCAAATTTAGGTTGAAGAATTGCCATCTTTTCATCTCTGAAGGCAATATTTAAACAGTATTGAATGGATATTTTGCACCCAAAACCCTTGAACTGCAATTTTACCACTACCGGTCTATATCTTTAACTCTTTCATATATGGTGATCAGCAAATGAAAAACGTTCCAATACGTTCTCAAAGTAGAATGATACCCTTTCCGTTCTCAAAAGATTGAACCACACCATACTTTGGAAATCTTGATTCATTTAATACAAAGAAGTAAGTTATATGCCTGTACATGAATTTTCAAAAGAGAATTTTTTGTTAAACTCTAGGAATTGAAAGTGCAGGTAGTATCACTGCACAACCAAGTCTACGACCACTTTGTAATGAAAAGCCGATGTTTCCATGGCAACTGGTATACTCACAGATATTTCCTGTTTTCATAGACATCATATAGCCCCAGGACATGTGGATGCTCAATCAACTTCATTATTGCTATCTCACGCTCCACCTGTCAATGATAGAGAGAAGGGAAGAACAGAGGAGAGAGGAAAGGATAGATTGGAGGGAGATGGATGGAGGGAAAGAGGGAGATGGATGAAGGGAGGGAGAGGGAGGAGGGAGGAGGGAGGAGGGAGGGAAAGAGAGAGAGAGGACATGAAAGGGTACAGGAGAGTAAGGAGGGATGGAAGAAAGGAAGGCAGGAGGAGAGGAGGGAAATAAGGAAGGAAGGAAGCAGGGGTGAGAAAAAGAAAAGGAGGGAGGGAAGGAGAGGAGACAGGGGGGGGATGAATTGATAGAATGAGGATTGAAGGGAGAGAGAGATGGAGGGATCGATTGACAGAGGGCAAAAGGGAGGGCCGGAGAGAGAGAGAGTGATGGATAGAGAGTGATGGAGAGAAAGAGAGAGAGAGAGAGAGAGAGAGAGAGAGGGGCGATGTAGATGGGACAAGCAGAAGAAAAATAGAAAAGAACAAAAAAATTAGATTAAAAATATGACCATTTTGAAAATATAAAGAAATTCAGCAGCTCTTATAACTACTGATTCTAAATGACAAGCAACAAAGCTGTATCATTAAAAATGTAATCCTTGTGAGATTTACAAAACAGTTTTTCCTGAGGATATAAAGTGAGCTGAAACGCTCCTAGGTAATACTTTATCGACGTAATGAAGTTTTCTTTAAAAAGTAATTAACTTGTATTTATGAAGCTTATATTTTCACTGAAATTTAGAAATTATGTAAAAGCTCTCTCCTTCTCTCTCTCTCTCTCTCTTTATCTCTCTCTCTCTCTCTCTCTCTCTCTCCTTCCCTGGAGAGTTTCACGGCATAATTGCATAGCGTACCTATTTTCTTTATAAAACAACAATATTATCACCATTATCACAAGTTCATGAATTTTCAGGACATTCAATACAAGCCAAGAATACACGATGAGCTGAGAAAACCTAAATCAATTGCTCACACGAAAATGCAATAAAATGATTTTAAATTGATCACTTGAAAATGCAATAAAATGATTAATGTACCCATCTACAATGGCAAAATGAAAAAACACACTTTAATAATGAAATTTATCTTCTAGGTAACTACGCTTAATCTGTTGACACCTTCTAAGGAGTTGTATTACAGATTGTTTCATATTATAATAAAAATCCACTCAAAGAAAGACAAAACAGAAGGAAAAAAGAGAAAATGTAATCGCCATTAAAGAGTAACTGTTACCACAACTTTAGAGTAGATTTTGATAAACATGTAATTTTGGAGTGCTCTCAATTTTAAATGAAGTAATCCCGATTAAATATGACTTCTCTAAAAGTTCATTTGGACTTAATTCTCTGCATTGTAATAATATATCTGTAAAGCGCTTTAATAGACACATATGGTAGTTGTATCGATGTATTGCGTGCTACACTTTGTATAAAAGCAGAATATTATCATTATTATTGCCAGTAAGAGAGTACCACAAGTTTAATAATTGGAATTTTGATACATATACACTTATGGATATGACAGGCTTGCCAATTCATTAAGAACACTGTACACCAGGAGATCATGGTTTAACCAGAGATTAATCTTTGTGAACGTGTTAGCTAATTAATCTTTATGGGAAATTAATCTTTGTAGATTGTGGTTTGATCAGAGATTAATCTTTGTGGGTTTTCCAAATCTGATATTGCATGCAGCCCTATGAATATTACCCACGGGCACTGTTCAGACAACCAAATTCTCTGTTTACATGAACCTACAAAACCTGTATACAAGTAGCTAAACGATTTAGTAAGTATTAAGTTTTTAGTCTGAACGTTGTTTAACAAAACATCAAAAAGACACTATGGTGAGTAGTAGACCGTGCAGTCTGCTACTAAAAGTCTCTCAGTTCAGACATTCTATTACATTGTGCCTGTAAATTACCTTTTGCTATATGATAATTCTTGATAAAACGTTCTATTACAAACATTTTGGATAGAGGTAAACTACCTTTGGCTAAACCATAATTCCTGATCAAACGTTTCATTATACGAGTTTTGAATAGATTTTCTAGTGTGAACAGGCTCTTAATACCAGATCCAATCCAGTAATATGCTACAGAATATAATGTTATAAAATATGATATCCTTCGGCAGGCGGGGTAATCTCCTAATCAGCAACTCAGGGTAGCGACTTAGGCCTTTTAACACAGCCGTATACAGTAAAACAGCATGTCCTAGCGCTTCTACTTGCAACCATGAAGATACATGTACAGTGCATATATCTCGTACCAATCTATATGATGTGACTAAAGTGCTACATACAGGTTGTATTGAAAAAAGGATATGAATTAATGTACTCATCCAGCTTCTAGCTAAAGCAAACTGTTGTAACAAGTTTTTTTTTCTGTACTTAATTGGTTTCAAAATGAGGTAGAAGAAGTATTTTATTAATATTTAGAATGAATTTGCATAAATTATAATCAATGCTTAAGCCTGTCTGCACAAGTTTGGCCAGGAGGGATTAGACCACCCAGCATGGTCACTGACAGGTGGTTATCTCATCAACTCAGCTCTCAATTAACATAAGAAAAAGGGGATCATGGGGGACCAACAAGCACTGATTAGGCATTGTTTGCTATACAATATAGAGGGCGCAAGTAGCTATAAGTAGCGCAGTGGGGCTTTAACAGGCAAAATTTCAACAAATTTGGTATAGAAGTTCTGATGCTCCACCAGACATGTATGTGTACATTATGACTACTATTTGGCGCAGTGTAAACACACCCTTTTTCAACAAATGAGGGTACTGTATGGTGCATGTCTAGACAATTTGTAATCATAGAATATCCGGTTCAATCTTATTACCTACATGTAGCTGTTGGTTCATTCAAGAGTGTTAGGAGATTAATTAGTTTCTCCTCCTCTTTCTTATCACCAAGTTTTCAAGAGCGAGAGAGAGAGAGAGAGAGAGAGTTTCAAAAATCACAATTTTGGAAAGGAAGGGGGGGGGGGGAGTTCTGTAAAGCCAGAAATTTAAGTACATGTGCATGTGTGCCTGTCTTTTTCAATAATGTTGACAGATTAACAGAAGTTTCATACTGTAAATCATTAAAGTAGAAGTTCTGGAACAAGAGGGTAAATTTTTATTATTTTCTCTGTTTTATTAATTGCAGTTTTAAGTGCATACACCCTGTACATCCAATGCCATTGATGTTTCCTTAATAACAAACATGTGTTAAGAAATTTACTGAGAAATAGGCAAAATTAATCAACAAAAATGCAATCACAGATACACTTATGACATACAGTACATGAGGCTACATGTAACACAATAATTGTGTCTCCACAGATCTTTTTAAAAATTATGGATGCAATTCACAAGTTCATTCTTTGAAATACAATACAGTTGCCCAAACACAAATGAAAAAAAAAAATAATCAAACTTATCTACATGAAATACCAAAACAATATTTTTCTTATCTGGTTGATCAAAAATCTCTTGGGTCTTTGGTTTTACCTTTTCAAAAACCAGGTGACGGGTACCACTCATTCACTGAATATTTAATTTCACCAAAAAAATACAAGTACTGTTATCTTTGTATTCCAGGATTTTGATTCCATTTTCTTCTTCTAAAGTGCAACAAGGATAGTTTTCTGTTTATTGTTCCAACTAAATGTCTTAAAATATCAGAAATGAACACACTCAAGTAAGATCTGTTATTTTCCTAACATTTTTCATCTTATATTTCTTTTCTATAATTGTCTGTCTCTCTGTCTCTTCCTTTTTTATCTCACACCCCCTCATTCTTTTCCCCCTGCCCTACGTGTATATATTTCTTATGATATTCCTCCTTTCTCTGGGCCCATGTAAATGAATAACCACGGTCTTTTCCTTAAATGTCAAAGCAACACATCAATGAAATTAATTGACCCGTGTTAAAACGATTGGCTGCATTCATTAGGGCAGCTTTTTCACATTGATTGCAATCATCCATGTTTCATGCAAAGCCCTGGGCCCTGTTTCATAAAACTTGTTATGAATAACAAATGCTAAATATCTATGACAAATCTGCTCTCAGCCAATCAAACGCCACAATCTTAGTTGCTTTTAACAGTTATTGTATACTTGTTATTGATAACAAGTTTGATGAAACTGGGCCCAGGTCACAACTCGCCATGCACCTTTGTGAGTGTGGCTGGTCTTTTTGGAAAAAAATTGTGTCGGATAAAAGGGTCACTAAATTCTATTCAGGCCAGCAGGAACCCATGAGAGCCAACACGAGTCTGCAGGAGACTGAAGGAAAAACAGAAGCATGCAAGCATCGGCAAGTTTCACATGAAAATGATTGGCTCCATTCGATCATGAGGACAGCTTTTTCACATTGATTGCAATTATCCATGTTCTAAAGTAGGCAGGTACATACAAGGCCCAGGGGGGTGTTTCACAAAGATCCTAAGTTGAACTTATCTCTAAGTTGGACTTAACAATAATGGAAAACCGTTAGCATAGATCTATGAGAATATTTTGTTAAAGTTGTTTTAAAAGGTATAAAATGTTGATTCAAATCTTTCATATTTTCTATTATCAAGGAGATTTCATGTTCTTGATGTGGAATTTATAAAACGTCAAAAATACTTGAATTTTCACTTTCAAACATATTTTATTTTAAGGCTACAAATGGCTCTCCATAACTTTTAAGTCCAACTTAGAGTTAAGTTCGACTTAGAATCTTTGTGAAACACCCCCTGGTAATAACTTGCCAAGCATCTCTTTCTGGGGCTGGCCCAGATTGGAGGAGGATTTTCAGACAATCCCTGCATCAGACAAAGGGGCATGTACATTTTATTTCAGGACCACAAGAGCCCACACACGCTCACACGAGCCTGCAGGAGACCAAAGGAGACCAAAGGAGAATCAGGAGCATGCAAGCATCTGCAAAAGCATTGATCTACATTAGCCACTCTCCACCCAGGTGTTAAATGGGTACCCAGTAGGATGCAAAAGCCAATGGGGTATGCTTAGCAATTTGAGCCTAATA